CATCCATCCTGGTGGAAAGGCAGACGTGGCGCCCAACCCGTCGGCCATCTGCTGCACATCGACTCTGAAACGATTGTCACCAACTGGACGGATACGAAGGCAGGAACAGGATCAGCAGCGGCGGCTGAGTGGAGCTAAACATGCTAACATCTGGGCTCTAAAGCAGCCCTGTGATGAAAGCAGAGGCTGCTAACCAAGGAAACGTTTGACTTCTTAGAGCCAAACTGTTGTGAAATCCTTCTGCTGCCTGAATGGAAACCAGGGAACATTTTGTTCTCCAAAATCATAAATGTTTGATGATCAGATTTTAGAAAGCAACACCTGGATAATCAGAAACATTTGTGTTCACAGTAATTCATTCTACATGATATAAATAACCTGAACTCTAAGAAATGTTTCTGATCTCTAAATAAATGAGTTAAAGGGAATTGATTTTTTGCAAACTGCAGCGAACTCATTCCAGCTGTCAGACGATGTTTAATCGTGGCTCTGACTGGGATTCCTTCCAGGCAGCAGCCCTGATCTCCGGCCGGTTATGTTCTCCGGCTGTCAGTAAACAGAGAGGGGAGCAGACGGCTGCAGGCCGGTGTGGGCGGAGAAGATCAGTTCACCGCTGAGTTTAGAACGGTGGAACGGTCCTTCTGGTTCCCGCTGTGGTTCTAAGGTTCCTCTCACCGTGTAGGTCTCCTTGTTCAACGTCTCCACCTCCACCATGTCTCCGCTCTGGTCGATCCTGTAGACCGGTGACTGCAGCTTCACTCTTTCACCCAGCTCTTTGGCCATGCACTCGCTGATCTGACCCGAGCCGCCTGCAAACTTCCTCTCCTGCAGAAACCAGCAGACGATCAGTCAGTGATGATGAACACAGTGAAAGCATGCAGTGGCGTTCAAACCCCAAACCTCATCACCTCTGATATCAAAGAACCGGAAATATCAGTTCACATCTGAACATGAGCAGCGCACAATGAGCATCAGTCAGAGGAAACTGGAGGAGCTGCAGAGGCCTACAGAGTCTCAGTGGAATCTAAATGATTTGGGCTACTAAAAACTAGACCTGCAAACGTTGTTCCCACAGTGATGCATGGTGGTGGAGGCATCATACTATGGGAGGCCTTCCTTCAGCAGGAACACGCTAATTCATCAAAGCTGTTGGGACGACGGAGGGAGAAAAATGTTTCCCTTCCAGCGATCGTTTGGATCAAAGCTGCTAGAATGGTCCAGATATCTAATATAGAACTCACCCATTCCACCTAATCCTGTCAGGTTCCCTCCCAGATGTTCTGCATCATTATCTTCAATCTCCGTCCTTCCCTTCAGGACCAGTTAGTGTCTGCAGAGACCAACTGGTCCTGAAGGCCAGCGATCACAGACAGGCTGAGGGGCGGAGAGCGATACGGCGCTGCCAAAGCTCTGACACACTAAATCGATTAGGCACTGACCTTTTCTGTGCGCCTGGCGTCAACATCTCTGCAGCCCCTGATCTCTTTAACGTAGCGTGGATCTTTGGAGGAATTCACCAGTCACCACTAAACACGATGCGCCTTTTTGTTCGGTTTATAAGCAGCTCTGCCTCTAGAAAAAAATAAAATGCTGTCCCTGTCAGGACGCTCTAGTAAAACTGAAGAAGGCCTCCATGTTGGCTAACGTGTCCTCTGTGCAGAAACACGCTTTAAAGCTTAAAGACAGCGGGGGGTGGGGGGGTCATCCAGGAGCAGCACTGACAGAAAGCATCCTTAGTTTGGCTGCTGAACAGAGCAGACAGGAGGAAACACTGAGACTCATTTAGCAGCGCTGACGGCTACTCTCTGCTCCTCTCTGCTCCTCTCTGCTCCTCTCTGCTCCTCTCTGCTCCTCCTGCATCGGAGCACCGTCTGCAAAAACGTTTCTGTTTGGAAATCAGCTTCAGGAAGCCAGTCAACAAGAGGCACCTGAAGTGGGCGGGTTGCAGATGAGCAGCTTAAAGACAGATGAGGTTAAAAGCCATGGAGAGAGAGGTAATAATGAGGATTAATAAAATAAATGATCATATTTATAGCGCACCTTACAGCTCGTTTCCTAATAAACATTAAAACTTCTGGCTGCATTTGAGTTTCTAATTAGGAAAATCCTGTTTTCATGTGTTAAATGTTTACATCCTGCAACTATGAATTTACCAGGTTTGCTCATTAGAATATGATCTGCATACAGATCAAGGCAACAAGCTCAAACTGGCTGCTTACTCCGTACGTACACAGCAGTTCATCAAAGTAAGAGCCCAACCCGTCTGGAAGGCACAGCTTTAACACCATAAGGTGATTTTCAGTTTGGACATGTGTGCAAAGTCTAGAAGCTATCACTCTATAAGACACAAAGGACTGCTGGCAGGGACGTCCGAACTGGACTCAGCTTTCCTGAACTCTGGAGACGGATCAGATTTCCAAACAGAGATCAACATTAGTTACAGGTCTGGAAAAGATTGGGAATTTATTATTTGTTTACATGGGAGCTCAGTTTAGTTAAGTTTAACTAGTTTTTAGTCAGGAGTTTTAAATGAAATGTGTTTGAATTGTAGCTGAATGATATAAAACTCATATTTTAATGGAAGTTGTGGTAAATTTATTGCATATTTGTGCAGAATTATCAGTTTGAACAGGATTTGAGCTCTTTGATGCTTTCCTTTGCTGTCCGTACACAAAGCACGCGTTCAGAGAACATGACATGACCTGTAGGGTCAGGACTGGGTCCTGCTTACATACCTGCCCCCCGTTGGTGGTGGAGAAGATCCTCATGGTTCCTCCGCACTGCTTCACGTACCACAGGAACCAGAGGGCTGAGACCTCATGGGGTTCAGACGTCACGTTCACGTTGACAAACAGGGTGGCAAAGCGGCGAACAGCGCTGTGAGAGGAAACGGAGGGACCAACCAGCATTAACTGGTTCTATAGAGGAACATGTCCCTGCTTAGAACCCAGAGAACATGACAAAGTTCCCTTTATCACCTGGTCCAGCAGATTTTGTCGAACAGCTGCTGCATGGTCATGTTGTCCCACTCCACGGCGTGAGGCGCTCTCCATGGTGCCTCTCTGGGGATCTAAGGTGCCAGTGGACAGTGAGCATTAGACCGCTGCATGGAGGAGAGGCAGTAACAGGACAACAGTAACATGCTGTCACCTCCATGCCCATCTGGTCCATGGTCCTGAAGAGGTTATTAAAGTCCATGTAGACGATGGGGTTCCACATGGGAGGGAAGGAACCTTTGAACGGGTAAGACTTTCCCTGTGGGGTCAATAAACACAGTCAGCAAATCAGCTATCATGATAAACCAGTTAGAACCGGTTGGTTTATCTCACAGAACCACAATGAAAGCAGATAAGCTTGTGTAAACAGGGACAAACAACCAATATAACTATGGCGGCCATATTGGAATCTTCTCTGGCTACAGTCACTAATCTACCAACGCTGCTCACTCTATTAATGTTTAGTTTAACACAGCATTAAAATAAAACTTGGCAACAATATTTAACATGAGTGTTGCTGTTATGGCCAATAATAACCGGTAATAAT